TCTTAAAATCATAACATCATTAGGCCTTCTGCGTACCTCTTGAATTCCCTTCATCTTTCTCAAGCTTTTATCCAAAATTCTTTCTTCAATCTTTGAAGGCTTTTGGTACTTTTATCTATACCTCTCCTCAGGCAGGTATCAAATTTGGCCTTGGGTTACAGTAGTAGATATTCATTTCTTAGCTTTTTACATGCTTGAGTTTTAGGCCTTTAATGTCTGACATTTTTCCCCTTCTGTCTCTCATGATGTTAAGTGTACAGTATTTATTGAGAAAATTGAAGAGAAGACACTTTTGAGGGAGTGTAGGAAGACTAGTATAATGTCAGGTAGTCTTCATAGTTTACACATTCTAATTAGAATGCAGTGGCTTAAAAGACTGATTAATTCATTTACTCATTCAGCATTTAGCTATTTAGCTACTATGATGGGTGTGCACTGTGATGAACTTGGAAATACAAGGATAGTATGAGAGTTTTGGATGCAGAAGAATGAGTCTTCACCTTGTGTTTAAAATTGAATTCACAGGTGATGCCCATTATTTAAGCAATATACAAGGAAGTCCCAGGTGACTGCAGAACTTGATTCTACTGAGTATTGCTTGTCCATGGTGTCCTGTCTCATTAACTTTGATAAAAGCCAGTTCTCATTGGCTTCTCTTAAGCCAGTGAGATTAGTTATTTTTAAAATTTTTCCTCATGATTTTGTCTCATATTTTATTGTGATCTCTATGTCCTTATATTTACTCAAGGCTGACTCTTAATTATTATTGCTGTTTGAGGGGCTTAAAGTTTTATTCTATACTCTCTTTGTTTACTAGGATGTGAGTAGGGAAGTGTGCGTGTCATAGAGAAATGGTGGTATATATATGGTCAGAGCATGTACTACTGGTGATTCTAAGGCATTGAAAAAGTACCTTAAAATGATCAAATAAGGTTTTAACTTAATTGATTATTTTCAACAATATGCACCTTATTTTATGTAATTCTTTGAAACTTAATTTTCTTTTTATATGAGTAAGTAAACCAGGATACTCCATTTCTTCCCTTCTTATATTTTAATAAATAACCTTTTATGGTAACTTTTCTTCTGATCAAGTTTAAAGATTATATATTCTAGTGTCAGAATATACTCACAGCTGTTGTTGCTGTGAGTGATTTACCATAATAGTGGAGGGCATAAAGTTCTTTCAGGCTATAGAGAAAAAAATATTTTAATATTCTAAAGTATGAAGCATTGATAAACTGATAATAAAACATGCATGCTTATTTTGTTGCATTATCAGCAGTTCTCAACCTGTGGGTCATGACCCACAGAATTGTATTAAAGGGCCACGGCATTAGGAAGGTTGAGAAGCACTGCATTAGATGATAATCTACATTCTGTTTAACTATAGCAACACTTTTTTTTAAATTTACAATTTCAAATAAATGCCCCAGTGATATTTTAATGATCTTTCCTCATGCTATTGTAATTCTGGAGATGTAAGCACCAGTGACTGAGAGATTGTCTGGAAATGGTTTAATCTCAGTTGTTTTATATTTGAGAGATATTGATGTGCTATTATCTTCTCTAAGGTAACCGTGACACTATGTTGCCGTAAGAGTGAAATATGAGTAGGAATAGATTGATTTAAGGATTGCATAGTTATCTATCTTTTTTACTTAGGAAGTTTTTAGTTATGGAAAATTAGAACTAATAGGTAACCTGGAGGTTGCCTAGATCATGGTCAGAACTGTGAAAACCAAGGCCTGGAGGGGTTGTTCAGTTTACACGTGGCAGGGTTAGGACTTGTATCGCTGCCAGTGTTTATTTGCTGTGATATGGCTGCGTTCTTCCTGGTATGTTTCTGTATATGTGTACATATGTGTGGAGTGACTGTTAGAGGACCGCCCTTCATTTGTATTAATTGTATATCCTTTGCTATCTTATTGTTCTCATTCATGCTGTTTATTCCTGCATGGCACATTTTAAGTGTAAGAACAACTGCTTTTCTAGACTGGTAGTGAGGGAAAGCTTTCACATACCTGTAACTGACCAATCAAAGGAAGGTATCATCTCTATATTTTGTTGTTTTAAAAATTCCATAGTTCTTGATTATTCTCTCATAATTTTCTTACATAGTTAACTCAAGAAGTCATGTGCATATTTTCATATTTAGCCAGGCTATGATGACCTTAATCCTGATTGGAGGCTCTCAATTGAGAAGAGAAAAAAAATCAAAGGTGAGTTATATGAAATATGATAATTAAAGCCTTAAGAAGGTGTTCTATTATAAAAAGTGCTCTTTCGATGATTTTAAAAGTCTGTAGATACTTCTGCTTCATGTTGGAAGAAACACCATGGTTTCTGAGTCCAGGCAACAGATCCAGTTTTTTGATGGTTGGGCTGTCCCAAAGGCTGAGTCCAAGCAGGGGGTGTGCAGCCCAGCTCTCCTCCCACAAGCCAGCACTGAGTTGGCTCTCAGACTTGAGCACTCACAGGACACTCCTTTTCAGATGCTCTCTGGGGGACTAGCAGGAAAGTGGGGTAGGTTGGTGGGCTTGCTTCATACTTCTCATGTTTAAAGTTTTTTTTGTTTTTTTTTTTTTGCAATGAGCATATGTTTTATGAGTAGAATAATTAAGATTTACATCTAAATAAAAGTAATAATTATCTTTTAGTTGGCACATTAAAACAAAAAGTTTGAGTTTTTTACTTTTGGTTTTTGACTAAGGGTCATTTTCTTTAGGTGATGTTCTCAAAGTTAATCCATTAATTTTTGTGTCTCCTATAAAATCAGTGATAGTCGCAAGGTTCACAATCTGTATTGCATACAGGCAGTCCCAATTTATTAATATCTGACTTACATACATCTCACACTTATAGAGACTATTATAGTAATTTCCCAAGCTATAAATATCCAGCTAACCTCTGACTCACACTTACGGACGGACTGTACTATAAGTGATAGGCAAATATACTTGTTCCAACTTAATTACAAATTCACTTTAAGCATAAACCTATACAACTATCTCATTTATAATTTGGGGACTGCCTGAATACTTTTGGTTCATATCTAATGAAGTTTATAAATATTGATTAATATTATGTATCAAATTCTATGCTTTGAATCATCTGCTTTTGTTAAATAATCATTGAAAATATTTGTTCAGAAACATTTTTGAAGAAAAATAATAACTTGTCAAAGTAGAAGGTAGAATTCAATTAAAATGACTGGTTCCTCTTTCCTTCTACTGTACATATAGGTATAAGCCCCAGGAGCTCTGCTTTTCATGTTTTCTTAGAATTTCTTATTGATATGAATTCTTTCAGGCTTACATTGGAAAAAACTGTTGTTATGGTCTTTGTTTTCATTAAAATAATGAGTTATCTTTATTATTTTATGAGAATGAAAATAACTCATTATTTTAAATTTTAATTTAAAGATCTCTCTCTTCTTAGTCTAAGTATGTTTTTAAATTTATGGGTTACTGTTATGTCTATTTCCTTAGAACCTTATCACACCTTTTGTGTAACAGGTGAGGTTAAAAAAAGTAACAAAATTATAATAAATATTACGGCATTTCCTTTTAAATTTCTCTGTTAATTTATTGTCATCTCTAAAAATACTTTACTATCCTTGAATGTTTTCACTGTCTGGTAAGTTTAAGAGGAAACAAGCACTAGAAACAATTCCCTGTCTGCCTTACATTTTTCTAAAGGGTATTATCCTTTCATAGTTTGTCTCAAAGTGATATGTATACATTTTCCAAAACCTTTCTACCTACTTGAAAGGTAGGTGCATACAGGTCTATACAGGTTATAGAACCTTCTACACCTGTATAGATCTACCTTTTAAGTTATGATGTTGAAAATGGTGACATACCTTTCTCCAGAATATATTCTTGAGAAGAAGGACCTTAATGTATTTACTTCTGTATCCCTAGAGCTTTAGACTTTGACCAGTTGTTGGTACTTGGGAGCTCATTAAGTGAATTACCATTTGTACTTCATGCCTGAGTAAACATTTGAGAGATGACTTAGATTTTATTTTTTCTTATTTAACATACCTTTTGAGCCCAAATTATATAGGTGAATTTGATTTTTAAATTAATTATTATACTTGTATTTAAACCACATTTGCTGATGCATCTGTATTGGTTTGTTTTTCTCCCGTTAGATAAAGAGTCCTTTTACCCACTGATAGATGTCAACTGGTGGGCAGACAGCGCGGTGACTTTGGCTCGATGTTCTGGTGCTTTAACTGTCTCGTCAGTCAAAACTTTGAAGAATTTGCTGGGAAAGTCCTGTGAATGGTTTGAACCGTCACCACAAGTAACTGCTACCCATGATGGGGGATTTTTAAGTTTGGAGGTAAGGCTTTCCTCTTTGAAAGTAAATGTGTATTTCCCCCAAAATTAAATACCTGGCCTTTTAGATGTCCCATGATGTAATCTTGTCTTTAGAAACAAAAATCTGTGATTAGAATGAGACATTGGATATAGTATCAAAAAAAATGAAAATCTATTCTTTACTGAATTTATTTATTTTTTACATTTTTATTTATTTTTCTTTTGTGAAACAAAGTCTCACTTTGTTGCCCTCTGTAGTGTGCAGTGGTATCATAGCTCACAGCAACCCCAAACTCTTGGGCTCAAGTTATCTTCTTTAGCTTTCCTAGTAGCTGGGACTATAGGTGCCCACTATCATGCCCAGCTAGGTTTTCTGTTTTCAGTAGAGATGGGGTCTTGCTCTTGCTCAAGCTGGTCTTGAACTACTGAGCTAAAGCAATCTACCTGCTTTGGTTTCTTAGAGTGCTAGGATTACCAGTGTGAGCCATTTCTCTTGGCCTGTTTACTGAGTTATTGAAAATAGCAATTTAAGACAATGAGGAAAATTTGTAGTCATTTTGCTCTCTATAAAGTATTTCTTCTTTACTGAAATCATAGATTTTTTTTCTGAATTAGTTGTCTTACAATAGAGTGGTATTACCACATAAGAAATACAGTCTTTAACCTGTCTCCACAAAGTCTAGCCACTTAAAATTTTGGTCATTTTAGTAATAAATCTTGATTATCATTACAAAAAGATGTGAAAATAGTGGCTAGTTTTTTAAAGTTAGGTTTTGGTCATTTAAAATTCTTATTTGACGTTTTCCAAGAATAATAGCCTTCAATAGCTTTCACTTCTGCAGTGCAGATTGACAAATATTTTTTACTCCAAAGTTTGCTTCTGAGTCTAAAGATGTTCTTTGTAGAGAACTATAGTTTAAAATCTAAGCCAACTCTGTTAAGTCTAGAATGAAAGTTATCTTTAACAGCCAGGCTTTCAGAATCAGAGCTTTGTGAAGCTCTTAGACATTTTTAAAATGGGATGAAGGAACACTAGTCTCAGTAAAGCACATATAAATACCTTCATGTTCATTCTCCAAGAAGATGGAAAAAAAATCTTATTTTTCTGCAGCAGGTACAGAAAATTAAAAATAAATTAGCATTCTTAGCTTTTTTATTTTTCTAAAATAATTACCAGACATATATTTATAAGACCATATTAATGACTTCTTATTAAAACAGGCTTAAGTTTTAGATATTTGGAGTTGATAATATATGTGCTTGTTTTTGGAGCTGATGTATATAATGTTTTCATAGGTGCCTTTGAATTCTTCCGTTAATCTGAAACACATGGCTGACATAATGAAGCAAAGCAGAGTAGAATTAAAAATGTATTTTCTTGTATTCTAAAAAGTTGTCTTTAGTTCCTCATTATTAATTTCATATCTTCTTTTTCAATTTAGTGTGAGATTAAACTTGCCCCCAAACGATCTCGTTTGGAGATTAGAGCTGGAGAAGAGGATGAAGGAGAAGAGGATTCTGATTCTGATCATGAAATATCTGCCAAAACTCGCTACTTTGGTTATATAAAACAGGGCCTTTACTTAGTGACGGAAATGGAGCGATTTGCACCACCACGGAAGCGGCCACGAACCATTACCAAAAACTACCGCCTCGTCAGTTTGCGCTCTACGACTCCAGAGGAGCTTTATCAGAGAAAGGTGAGAGAGTGTGCTGTCACTAGAAAATTTGAAAGCCTCAAGATTTTATTTTATTTTATTAAGAAAATGCTAATTTTTCAATAAATGAAGATATTTAAAAAGGGAAGATTGGATCATTGGCATGCTAGAAATATCAGTGTTATAAAGCTTTTGAAAATAGCTTTTGAAAATAATGCTGGTCTCTGTACCTAAGTAAACAAAATCAAAACCATAGCTAGGAGATGAATTCACTTAAACTGATTATCTACTTTGTGACGTCGCCTGTTTTTTCTGCCACACTCTCTCTCTTTATCTGTGTTGGAGTCAGCTGTGTTCTCAAACTACAGATGGTGAGGGAAGAAATGCAGACTTGCTTTCCAGGCAGAACCTTGCTTGGGAAGCCAGTATTACCCATGCTGTGTTCATGTTACTTGTGTCACATCGTGATACTGCACAAATAGTTGTAGGAGTCAGGCTGTGACACTGTTGTCCTGGTTTTGTCATTGTTTACTCTATAAACAAGAGAAATAAGAGCTTTATACTTTCTGTGTCTCAGTAGATACCTAATTTATTTGCTTCTTGAAATGTCTACTATAGGCTTCTAGTACCACAGTAGATAGGAATTCTTAACCTGCTGTATAGGTCCCAGGAATTACCATCTTTCATCATATTATCATAGGGACCCTGTGGATAATTCAGTTATGTAACATTCTTGTTTCTGTTCCCTGGTCTGAAGATTGAAAATGAAGACTATGAGGAAGCCTTGTCTTTGGCTCAAACCTATGGCCTGGATACTGACCTAGTATATCAGAGGCAGTGGAGGAAGTCAGCGGTCAACGTTGCTTCAATTCAGAATTATTTGGTATGTGTCAGTATTTTGGTAACATGGTAATATTCATATTCATGAAAAACCTTCTGGTTACAAGTCTTCATTTTAGAATACTTTACATTGCTGACTTTTCTACAGCCAATGAAGTATGTTTTTCTCACCTGAAAAAATTATCTTGTCAGGTACTTTTGCCCCTGCAGCTAGACTTTGGTGCTGAAGATGTGTGAACAAAGTATTCGCTGATAAAGCAGCCAGCTCCCTGGTCTTGGCCTAATCCTTTCCCTGACTGCCATGTAATTACCTCTCTTCACCTGCATTAGTCAGGGTCTAATCAGGAGTGAGAAACTATAGTGTAATTTGAACAGAGAAAGTTTCAATATGGAGAATTATTTTATAATAACCACATATTAACTGTAAAGGGGTGAAGAGAACTGTAAGAAATGTCCTAGGGCTGAGGGAACATACCCCTGGAGAAACGAATCTGAAGGGAGGCCTCCTCTCCCAATCTGGCATTCAGATCTTGTTGGACAAGGGCTGGTTATAGCACATTGGATGGAAGAGAAGTTTTCTGGGTTGCCTGGGGCCAAGGCTGGTCCACAGTTACCAAAGTTGGCAGTCCGGGTAATGTGGGATGGATAAGAAAGGTGGATGCCTGCACCTAGGCGGACAGTATACTGAAGTGCGGGGAGTCAGAAACCTCAGGTACTGGCAAGCAGGAAGCCCCCTACCAGTATGAATGCAGCCCAAGGCTGGTAGGTATATAAGGAACCATGCTCAGGACTGGCAATTAAAAACTTCCCACTCCTATAGGTGGCTTCCTGTCACTTCTCTCTCAGGTGCCTGGGAGATTTACTGAGAAAGAATGTGCCCATGGGAGTGCTGTTCCACCTCAATGGGAAGTTGTCCCTTGCAGGAGGAAGGGGATGTAAGCACCCTTGCATCCCCCACCCAGTGCATGCCTTGGCTGCCAAGCCCAGAAGCAAGAAGAACCAAAGCACACCAGGTCTAGGAGCTAGACCCTTCTTGGCAGTGGCCTGCCAGCACCCTCTATTGGCAAAGCTTAACATCCTTTCAGCTGAGAGGACTTGAGAGAAATGGTGTCGGACAGCCAGCTGTGAGGGGAAAGTTTGAGCTGAGACACAATAAATAGGTTATTAACATATTAAACTTGTGGGATACTCCTTTTTTACCTGAATCTCACAATTGGATACTTTCTGCTACCTGTCTTCCATAATTTTAAGTTGTTATGTAGCCTTTTCTCAGTCATTTGGCCTGCTCTAACAAAAATACTATAGTCTGGGGGACTTTACCGACAAAACTTTATTTCTCACAGTTCTGGAGGCTGAGAAGTCCAGTATCCAGTTGTTGGCCAGTTTGATTCCTGGTGAGGGCCCTCTTCCTGGTCTGTAGATGTATTCCTTCTTGCTGTGTCTGTATGTGGTGGTGGGGGGTGGGAACAGAGAGAGAAAGGAAGCAGGTTCATTAATGTCTTTCTTATTAGGGCACTAATGCTATCAGGAGGGCTTCAGCCTTGTGACCTAAATACTTCCCGGAGGTCCCATTTCCAAATACTATAACAGTGGGAATTAGTTTTTCAACATATGATTTTAGAGGGACAGAGTTTATAGCAAGCCAGTATGTTTTGACTTTTGACATCTTGGTAAGGCAGTACTTGCTGCATTCATGACATGTTTAAAACAGTTGGGGCTACTGATCTGACATCTAGAAAGGAAAATACTTTTTTGTTTAGGAAGATTGTAGGAAATATTGGAAAAATTTAGTGATTGTTTTACCTAAAAATTTATGTAGGTGAGTAATTAAAAATAAAAATATAGTGTGAAAAAGTTGTGTGTAATAAGTTAGTGCTTCAACCTAAGAGGATGATAAACTTACCATTAATACAAATAAAGTATCCAAGATGAGAGACCATCAGAGATAATGAAAAAAAGGAAGAAGACAAAGTTGCTTGTATTTTATTTAGAAAATCAGAACACAAAACCTATGTTATTTTTCTTTCTCCTCTTATGATTTAGGACAATGACCTCATGGGTTTGTGTGTATATCTCTTTCTGAGTTATAATAAAGGTTAGTTTTGGTCCCTGAAGAGCAAAGGGGTGTTAGGAGAGACAAAGCAAGTGAATTTACTTTGTGGGGGTGGATATTTAAATGTTTAATTATATAGGCAGCTAACTATGCTGGGGACTGGGAAGGGATACAGGGGACGCATAAATGTGGATTTTGCAGGGAGGGAGCTTATAATCCTACTGAGGAGTCAGGATTCATTCTTAAAATACACATGACCCTACAAGAAGATTTCTGATAAAGCCCCAAGAATCCAGAGAAGGTAGTGATCATTGTAGAGTTGGTGATTGTGGAAGGCTTTACATAGTGAAGATGTTTAGACTAGAGCTTTGTAAGGATTTAAAGTAGGCCTTCTAGAGTTAGAAGAAAGGGGGACATTCTTAGTAGGATGTATGATATAAACCAATTAAGACACTGAGCAAGATTCATGCCAAGCTGTATGCATTGAGGCCCATGACTAAATCTGTTTTATTCATTGCTATAGCCTCATGTCTGGTACAGTGCCCTGTATACAGCAGGTGCCCAGTAAGTATTTCATAGAATATTTGTTTGCTAGAGCTGACATTTGACAATAGTGAACCATGGGAAATATAATTAGAAAGATATTTTGGGTTTACAAAGATGTTCAAAGTTTGTGATGAGTCAGGCTTTTGTCACACTGTGCAGTTTTGACCAAGGAGGCTCAGAGAAAGATGATGCAGAAGAGAACTGGAGTGGAGGGAGAATAGGAAGCTTCAGTTTCCTAGGCAGTATGTGTTGGTAATTTAGACTACAATGGAGGCTGCAGAAAAGGAAAAGGGAAGTGAGTTAAGAGATATTTGAAGAAAGAATTGGTAAGATGGAATGTGTAAAGGAACGTAGGGTGTGAGTCAAATCTTACGTCAAATCTATAACTCTGACAGCTGTTTCTAGGAAGAGGGCAAGTCAGGGATTTTTTTTTTTTTTCTTCAGTTTTTGGCCAGGGCTGGGTTTGAACCCGCCACTTCCAGCATATGGGGCTAGCGCCCTACTCCTTTGAGCCACAGGCGCTGCCCCAAGTCAGGGATTTTGAACAGAGTTGGAGAGAGGAATAGGCTCTTATTCTTTTCAAGAAACAACATTGCTAAACATTTTACAATTAGGTTACTATTTACGTTCTGTGATACATCTCATGGTTAAAAATATATAGAATTGTGACATATTATGCCTGTAGTTTTACTTCAAATATAAACATGCCTATTAATTACAATAGAATATATCATGCTTTTCTGCTTTATCTTCTATATTATACAGCCAAAATGCAAACCAAAGGTAACAACTATAAAAATTTGGAAAGATCTTGTTATATTTCAAAACAAGAGTATTGTGCTTAGTATTTCAGTGTGGCTCATTAGAAGAGGAAAGAAACATTGGGAATCACAGAGCCTGCATCTAACTATAATCACCATTAGGGCAATTGAGCAACTCAAGTGGCCAGTTATCTGTGGCCAAGTTCTAAATAGCTATCAATACCTCAGATAGAGCTTTATAGTAAGATGTCCTGAGTTCTTCATGCCTCTGTTGTTCATTTCCTTTGTGCTCAGAGTAAAATAAAGAAGCGATCCTGGGTTCTCCACGAGTGTTTGGAAAGAGTTCCTGAAAATGTGGATGCTGCAAAAGAACTACTTCAGTATGGATTAAAAGGCACAGACCTGGAGGCTCTTCTAGCAATAGGGAATGGAGCAGATGATGGAAGGTTGGTTATAGAAAGAACTGGATTCAAAGTAAAGGTGACTTTGCGAAGACTTGTAAGCTTTAACATTGGACTTGGTAAACTTTTCTTTGTTTAAGTTATTGTGTAATGCAGCAGTTGCTTGTTGAATGCTTTCTTATCTGAGGTTATAGCTTTCTTTCCTTTAAGTTAAATATGTTTGCATATGATAGCTTGGTGCTGAGGAAACAGCCAGTTCTACAAATGTTTATCGAACACTGGCTGTTTCTCAGCTGGGGTGTAATGCACTTACCTGGTTTACTACTCAGATGAACTGCTTTAGGCAAGTCTGAGCTTCACTTTCCTTATTTGTACGATCATAGAATTACTTTGAGTGATTATTCTGTATCTGTGAAAGCACCTTATAAACATCTTAAACACCATTAAAATGTCAGTTAAAAATAGTAACAATAGTCATAAAGTTATTTGACAAGAACCATTGCTTATCAGACATATAGAACTTAAAATGTGAGAGTGTATCTGAGAAGTAAATAATTAACATAAGACTGATATTTATTACCATCTTAAGACTGTAAATAGAAGGGATAGCAAGCAAACTCTGTAGACATTTTCTGCACAGTCTGATTTACACTGAGTGGAATGTTTTTTTTTTTTTTTGAGACAGAGTCTCACTTTGTCACCCTCAGTAGAGTGCTATGGTGGCATAGCTCTTAGCAACCTCAAACTCTTGGGCTCAAGCAATTCTCTTGCCTCAACTTCCTGAGTAGCTGGGATGACAGATGCCCGCCACAGTGCTGGCTATTTTTAGAGACGAGGTCTCACTCTGGCTCAGGCTGGTCTCAAGTTGAGGTAATCCACCTGCCTTGGCCTCCCAAGTGCTGGGATTATAGGCGTGAGCCACCATGACAGGCCCTACCATGGGTGAATTTAATCCCACCTGTTTTCCAAAATAGTTTTTATTTTCTTGTTTTTAAAATTTCTATTGTGATGATTACTGATGGCTTTTTGCCTATGCTATAAATATAATGAATGAATCACTTTGCTTACAATGGCAAATGTTTTTTTAAAATATTTTTTTTTGTTTCTATGTAAATCAGTAATAAACCAGTCAATAGGAGAATGCAGCTTTTCATGACATGAAATAAAAAACTTAATGAAAATAGTTTTTTTTCCTTGCAGATTTATATTACCTGGTCAAGTAGATATTGATAATATTTCCTATGAGGAGCTTTCCCCAGCTGAGGAAGAGCCTGCCAAGAATAAAAAGGAAAAGAAGCTCAAGAAAAGACGAGAACTCCTTAAATTAGTGAACTTTTCAAAGTAAATGATTTATTACTGTTCATTTGACAATTTCTTTAAAGTAACTAGTCATTTCAGTGTGTTCTTTACTAATGATAACTATCCTAAATTATTCTGGCAACTTCTATCAAATGCTTTTACTATTATCTTACCTTTGTCCTTTTGTATACTGTTTCATGAGTTTTGAACTCAATAGAATATTAATCATTTTCATTTCAACACATATAAAAATGTGCTTCTATGTAAATATAAGTGGCTTAATGTAGTTACTTAAAACAGGTTGACACTGGAACAAAAGGAACTTTGCCGCTGCAGGCTAAAATTGTTAACCTACTTAGACCGACTTGCAACATATGAGGTAAGGAATAATTTTATACAAACCAATTAAATTCTTCTGATCTATCATTATAAATGCTCTTGCTGCCCTAATATCTGATGTTCTTTGTTTTTAGAACTATTTATATGGGAAAAATTAGCTGTTCACAGAAGAAAATTCTCTTGTGATAGATCGTGAAAGGCCAGAAGTTGTTTTGTTAGTTTAAGGAATGGAAATACTTAGCCATTTTAGTGTATCGATGTTTTCTAGATTTAATATCCTTTTCATTTACTTTTATTTTATATTTTGATTTTAAAATAGCCCACAGCTGTTTACCAGATTTCAGTATGCCCAGGTTTTAATAATCTTAATATGAATATTTCTGATTCATTTTATTTTATTTGTTAGTAGGTTGAATTTAGTTGATTCATCTTTGATCATAATTAAACATTTGAAATTAAAAACAGTATATTTCATATTTGATCTGTAAGGACATAAACACAGATGTTCCCATGGTGGACATTTCAGCAGCACTCTGTATGTAAGGCCAAGTTACGTATCATTAAAGGTTAAGTATTGATAGAAACAAGCTGGGTTTGAATAAATATGCAGAGTTTAGATTGCTTTTTCACATGACCCTCATAGCTGAAGTCACTCAGGTTTTCAAATAAATTTCTGCATCCCCTCTTCTGTCAGTGGCACACTTCTCTCGGCTCTGGTGTGTGGTAGGCTTTTTATGTCACATCTAATAATGTGATGCTCATCCCAAGAACTTCTGACCTTGTAGGCAAAACCAAAAGTCTTTTGTTCCCTCAACCTGCTAATATAACTGAAATGTGTTCAAACAGAATACTAAAAGAGGGCTATTTCTGTGGTGATTAAAAAACACTAATAGTTTATTGTGACATGTAAACAAGTTATGAAAAATTCCTAGTAGTTTTATTTATAGGCACAATTAGTTTAGCTGCTGGATGGCTGTGTTACTTTAAAGAACGTCTCTTTGCTATGTCTGAGTTCTGTGATATTTTGAGGTAATATGTAAAAGCTCATTGTGAACTGTAGAAGTCTCAATAGATATAGATTATCATTTTTATACTTAGCCTTAGTTTCTTTTTTCTTTTTTTTCTTTTTTTTTTGAGACAGAGCCTCAAGCTGTCCCCCTGGGCAGAGTGCCGTGGCATTACAGCTCACAGCAACCTCCAACTCCTGGGCTCAAGCGAGTCTCCTGCCTCAGCCTCCCAAGTAGCTGGGACCACAGGCGCCCGCCACAACGCCCGGCTATTTTTTGGTTGCAGCCGTCATTGTTGTTTTGGCGGATCCGGCCTGGGGATTCAAACCTGCCACCTTAGGTGTACGTGGCTGGCGCCTTAGCCGGTTGAGCTATAGGCGCCGAGCCATATTTAGCCTTAGTTTCAATGATGATGATATCTTTAAAAAAAATACTTAAGAGTTTACATTTTGGATGTCCAGTTAATTTCTTTCATTATTTTTTAGTTATTAAATTGTGAGTCCCTATATAGCAATAATAAGTACATTGTAATAGTGACATTTAAAATACTTGTTGAGCCCACTTTTAAAAATTAAGCTGAGTTTTTGAAAAGTAGGTGAATTTTATGAATTTGTCTATTGAAATGTAGGGGACCAGGTGTGGTGACTCACACTTGTAATCCTAGTGCTTTGAGAGGCCAAAATAGGAGGATTGCTTAAGGCCAGGAGTTGAGACCAATCTGGGCAACAAATGAAACCCTATCTTTACAAAAGCAAAAATTATCTGAGCATAGTGGTGCATATCTATACTCCCAGCTACACAGAAGTTTAAGGCAGGAGGATTGCTTGAGCCCAAGAGTTCAAGGCTATAGAGAGCCATGATCCTGTTACTACCCAGCCTGGGCATCAGAGTGAGACCTTGTCTTTTAAAAATAACACAAAACAAAACTTAGTAATAAAAATGTTCACATATAATGGCTAACCAGTTACATAGTAGTAGAGATAGACATTGCATTGCATTTTAATGAAAGAAGACATAGCTTGTTCTATTAATATTATCATAAATGAGATAAAAATGCATTCATTTAAATTGTGTATGAGTGCTTGCTATCAGCTGGATAGTGTGCCATTGCTGAAAGTAGAGAGATGAACAAGGAACAGTCTTCATGGAGCCCACATTGTGTAGACTTTAAGTGATGATAATGAAGGGGTTGGGACTCGAAGAGGGAGCATAATGAAGAATAGGATTTTTCTTGGGGATGTCGGAGAAGACGACATAAGACATAAGACTTCAACTAGCCCTTACCTGAAGGAGTAGGCTATTATTATAAGGGGGCTACGAGAACAGAATCTCCACACAGTCAGAGGTTGTGTCCTGTTTGCTGCTTCCTACTATCCCACAGGCTCAGGATAGTACTTGGCTCATTGAAGAGCTCGGTAAATATTGGTCAACTATTTGAACCAGTAAGGAAGAATACCAGCACATTTGCTGAGAATTTACTATTTGTGAGTCATTTTTCTATGTGCTGGTTGCAGATGTCTTCTAACAATCCTTTGAGGCAGATACTATTATTCTCTTAATTAAAGTTTAGGGAAGGTAAGTAATTTGTCCAAATAAGTAGGAATCAAGAACTCCCAATGAGGTTTTTCTGATTAGTAGCTTATGCTGATAATCAGTGTGCTGTTTTGAAGTCCTAGTGGCATGAAAACAGATGTCGTGCTCTTGAGAAAGTGCATTAGTCAGGGCGTCTGGCCCACAGGATGGGAGGAGCGGAGGTGGCACAGAACCAAGGTGGGAACATAGTTACCATGGTTTGTGGCCTCAGTTGGAAAGGACTCTTGCTGTGTAAAGAATTAAACTGAATCTTTGTTGGCGGCTAGGCAAGTTTAGGGAAGAGTGAAAAGTGGGGAAATGGAAGCAGTGTTTGTGGGCACCTCTGTCAAAAAGGGGAGCAGGGAAGATGGTGGTAACTAGTTGGAATATGTACATTTAAGAGTGGTGTTTATATGAGAGAGAAGTACCGTTTGTAGGTATTGTGAATGAATCAATAGAGGGATAAAGGGGAACTTATTGAACAGAGGAAGGTGGTTGAGGAATTAGTGGAATGCTGCTTAGTATGTGAGCAGGAAGATCAGGAGCAGTTGGTCCAAGAGTTGAGTGCTGGACATTGAGATGTTCAAGACAGTGCTTTTTAGTAATGATAGAGATTCAGGGTTTGGTGATGGGATGTGTAAATAAGATGAAATAAAGGAAATAATTGTTGTGTGTAAGGAGGCAAGGAATTGAGAACATTTTTGAAATGCTTTTCTGTTATGCGTTCAATTCTTTTTTTGCCTTTTACTTATGTGGCTGGTATCCTACATCTACTTTTCAGATGCAGATTCCCTTTTTATTGTTCATCTTTTAAATCAGTGGTCCTCAACTATTTTTATTTTTTCCATGGTTGGGTGGGCATGGAGGGATGGTTTGAAGATGATTCAAGCGCATTCCATCTCTATCTCTGATCATTCTCATTAAGGAGCATGAACCCTTGCTTGTGCAGAGTGCAGGAGGGTTCACACTTCTCTGAGATCTGTTGCTGGGGCTGATCTGACAGGGGGTGGAGCTCAGGCAGGGATGGCCCATGGGAGCAGCCATAGTACAGATGAAGTGTCGCTCCTTCACCTGCTGCTCATCATCTGCTTGCTGCCCAGTTCCCAACAGGCGATGGACCAGTACTGGTCTGGGGTCTAGAGGTTGGGGTCCACAGCTTTAAATGATGTTGCTCCTCAATGGTCCTTTCAACTCATACTACTTAATCTCCTTTGGACTCACGGTCACCTCTGTGTTAATGACTTGACATCTCTATCTCCATCTCTTGCATTAATCTGGAACTCCTGACCTGTATACAGGCAGTCCCTAGGTTATGAACAAGATTGGTTCTGTAGATTTGTTCTTAAGTTGAATTTGTGTGTAAATTGGAACAAGTACATTTACCTATTACCTGTAATAGCCTCTGTTTGTAAGTGCAAGTTGTATGTTACTTGGATATTTGTAGTGTGAGTGGTATGTTAGATGTTGCGACTCAGGGACTGCCTGTATTCACCTGCTCACTGGGCAACTCCTTTTAGATATGCTGTGGTACGAAACTCAACAAATCCGAAGTGAATCTCTCAACTTGCCAGCCTCCTTCCTTTTTTCCATCCAAGCCTCCTCATCCTTCTCTTTCTTACCTCAGTAAATTAATTCAGTCAACAAATACTTACTGGTTATTAATTATGTGACATACAGTGTGCTAAGAATCTAGAGTTTTCCTATTAAATGTAGCTGATGTGGGTCATACATTGTGGTGAAGGGACCTGTTCTCTCCATTTGTGGCTAACTCCTCTATGTCTTTTATGTTTCAGTTGGGGGCCTTCTCTGTCCTCCCAGTAATAGTTGTGGCACCCTCCTGTGCATTCCTACTTACCTGATTTTATCTGCCTCTGTCTTCCCTCCAATTTGAAGCTACTTGGAGGGTCAGGGAAAGTGGATTGTTCATGTATCACCAATGCCTATCAGCAGAGCCCCTGGCACCTAGTGGATTGCCATAAATATTTGTTGAATGAATGAATGGTTCAATCTGAATTTTACCTGGCTAATTTTAGCAATAATAAATCTAAAGTCCAAAGTCTCATACAAAGGGGATGGATGCTTGTAATACATGGCCGTACATTACTGTCACCTATTGGTTTCTACCAGGTAGCTGATTTTGGTGGTTATTCTGTAATTAACTTAATACATATAATTATAGATTTTTTTTAAACCCAGCATTTATTCCTATATTTATTTCAAAATAATCATAGGAATGCAGATCTATTTTAGTTAATAGTTGATAGCTGAAATTAATTAATTCAGGCCTTACTTTATTTAGACAGGCAGAGTTACATAGGTTTTTTAATATTTTCTTGTCACCTATATTTAAAAGCCTTTTCATGAAGTCATTGTTTTCTCTCAGGAAATCTTAGGAGTGCCTCATGGATCGGAACAGAGATATGATGCTGAATTCTTTAAGAAGTTCAGAAATCAGAATATTGTTCTCTCAGCAAGAACTTATGCTCGGGTAATTTCTTTTTTGTAAATAAAATAATTAATGACTATTAACACTCTAAATTTTTGAGCTGTGCAGTAAATTTGTTGCATGCCTTTATCATTACATTTCCTTTCTGTTGTAATATTATTAAATATAGAGAAAATGGAGTAGAATTTTTTAAAAATTACATTTGTTACTCTGAATTTAAATAAAGATTTTGTACCATTAGATTGAGAAATGTGATGAAGGTTAGGAAAAATGAGGAATATTTCAGCACTTCATATAAGCACTGCATAGAAAAGTTGATTTTAAGTTTTTAATATTGTCATATAAAATCACCCCTTTATTTCTAAGGTTTACATTAGAAATTTGCCTTTTGTTTTTTGCACAGGAAAGTAATGTACAAGCCCTAGGAATTCTGTTTACTTATCATGGCTCTGACCTGCTTCCTCATCGCCTTGCAATTCTCTCCAACTTCCCAGAGACCACTTCTCCGCATGAATATTCTGTTTTGCTGCCCGAAGCTTGGTATGTGACTGTGTTGATTGAATTTTGCCTTCTTTCTGAATAATCATTTTTGTTTCATGCCAAATACTTGTATTAAAAAAGTAATAATTTTAATGTAATCTATTTGAACTTTTTTTTCTAATAATAAATTTATTTCCAAGATACTTTTAAAGGATTCAGAAGCTATTGTCTATAGTATAACAAGATCACTGTAACTTCATGAACATAAACATTCCATTCTTGGAAAACCTCTGAATTTACTGCTGTGTACTCAATGTATACTGTTTTCTGCTTAAGAACAGTTTTTATAAGAACAGTATGTTTGACTTGTATCTTTTAGAAATTGAAGTGAAGTTCTGACAATATTAGGTGGTAAGCCTCTGTGCGTATAGCCCCTCAGCACTTCTGGAAGATATCCTTTGTAATCATTATCTGGCCTAAGGCTACATATAAGACAGACCTACTAAACCTGCCTCTGGTGGCTTATCTCAGATGAACAGACTTCTCATCCTCAAGAATGTCTGCCTCCTGCTTTGTTTAACAATTTTTTTCATATGAGATTGGAAAGACCCAAAGATAAAAGGGAAAACAAAATACTACTTTCCCAGTAGCCTGATACTCCTAGTCTCAATTTCAGGATCTATGATAATTGGGTTACGGCATGTGACATAGACTCAATTCTATGTAAAACCATTGAGCCTTTCCCCACCTGGTGGTCTTTCCGAGGCCAGGACATCTCTTCTTGAAAATGAAGCCAAGAGAATATGTTATATTTGGCTCAGTGCGTAGTTCAAAGATGGGCAATCCATTAGCCCCAGGCCCGAGTGGCAGCTGAGAGAAGGGAGGAGTTGGCAGCACGCCTTGCTCAGGTCATTCACTGAACTGGGGGAGAAGGCAAAAGAATAATGTGGCACATCTGTTGGTGAGATCTTCTAGGTACAGTGAGCCAGTCCACTAGTCATTGTGGCTGAGTCATTAATTGCATGGTTTATCTTTTCCGAATTTGAGTTGATTCATCTTTAAAATGAGTTGACAGTCCCTGCCTTCTACTCACATTGCATATTTTTTAGTAACGTGAATTGATGAATATAAAATTTACTTGTAAACCTTAAGTCAACTGTGAGGGATCATGATGGTTCTGACCAATCATTTTTATGAACTTTACCTACTGGAAACTTGCAGTGTTGAGATTATTATTGACCTTGGGGATCATTTGACTTCTTTATTCCTCCCCTGCTGCCTCCCCTTAATATCATATTTGTAGGTTCGAATATTAGTCATGGTAGTCAACATTTGTTAATTACTAAGTATTTGGCACATACTTCTATCTGGTCTTCAAGTAATTTTGATATTATCCCATTA